GTTTACCACAACACTACTTACAACAGTCAACAGAAATAAGCTAATTGCCCATTAGGAGATGAATGGATAAATAAAATGGTGTACATACATACTACTCAGCCAATAGGAGAAATGAAGTCTTTATACAAACATTTCTTTATGGATGGGGCTTGAAGGCATTATACTGAGTGAAATGAGGCAATCACAGCTATTATATGACTTCATATAAAAAGACAAGGAAGGAAAAAAATTAAAATAAAATTTTAAAAAGACAAGGAAGGGGCAAAAAAGGGAAAAAGTGACGGGAAAACCAAACTGATCAAGGGTGTGGGACTGCTGAGTAGATTGTAACTGCTGTAAGCTGTGCACACAGAAAGAGCTGAACTGAAAAATGTTGCATGATAAATATATTTATAAAGACCAAAAAGAAGTGGAATAGCTGAGTCTGCTTACACACAACCAAACACCTTATGGGATTTGGTCCTTTGGTTTGGAGGTATAAGATTATGGTTTCAAGGGAGGATATCCCCTATTAACTGACCTATACTGTTTAGCCCTTCAGTTCTATCTCCTAGTTCATGGCTTTGTGCCTGAGGTCTGAAAGGCTTGTCCACCGGTCATCTAAGGCACAAGTGGAAGAGAGGAAGGGAGTCAGGAATCAAGAGGAGGATATGGAATCTATGGGAACCCTAGTAGTGTGTTAGTTACATGTTGGGCTGCTAAACCCCCAGGATGAGGCTTTCTATTTCAGTAGAGCTCCAGTGTTGAAAACTCAAAAGGACAGTGCTACACTGTCTTATATGGTTGGAATGGGCTTGGTGGCAGTGAGAAAGTTTATGTTAGTGTGGGAGAAATCGCTTAGAAAAGTAGGCTGAGAATAGCGGCACAACTCAAAGGACATAAGCAATGTCACTTAACTTGAACAGGTAGCAATGCTGGATTGTATATGTTTTGTAGTGCATATTCTCAACAGCAACAACAAATCAAAATACATGTACTAAACTGAGATCCCTTACAAATGGATTTTAGCCAATGGGCATCTATATAAAATATTTAAAAGGATTAAATTTATAAATGCTGATTAAAAAATGTTTAACAACCCATTTCAAACTGCTTTTATCTTTTTTGTTTGTTTTTATCTTTATCCACAGACCAAAGTATTTGTAGAATTATGAACCGACTACGGTTGATTCCTACTCGGTGGCCTTATGGGAAAGGGTAGAACTGCTCTACAGGGTTTCTGACTGCACACTGTGAACAGCAGCAGGCAGGCTCATCTTTCTCCTTCAGAGCCTTGTGGGTTTGAATCACGGACCTTTCCCTTAGCAGCCCAGTGCTTGATCCACTGCATAGCCAGCCTCAGCAAATTAAATCAATTTATATTCTCCTTGCAGGCTGCCAGGAGTTGCCTTTGTAATTCAATTAACTTAACCAATGACCTTACAAACTGAATATTAACTCTGACCAAAACACAATGAGACCAAAGGGTGTCTTAAAGAAAGCACGAGTTATGCATGTGAGTATGTCACTCAGACCCAAGGTCCAGTGCTGTTCTCTCAAATGTACCAGCTTTCATAATATGGGTCCTGTGCTACTAGACAGCTTTCCAAGAGCCCACTGTACACATAGTTACAAACATCGACTTTTACAACCCAACAACACCATATTTAAACAATGTTTGCCTAAGATTAAATGAAAGATTTCACTTTAAAAAAAAGGATTTCACTTTAAAAAATATAAACATTCACAACTTAATCCAAATGATAACTACGTGTGAAGTAACCCAGGCACAATAATACTGAGACCTCTCTCCTTTTCCATATGTGGTTATTATTAAAAGTAAAAAGTAAAATCTCCAACTTGTGATTTATATAATTCAATCAAGAAAACAATTAATCTAGTTTTCAACCAAGAATGTTCCAAAAATGACTACCTAAATAAGCAATTTTGAGGCATGAAAAAGTAAGACCTGCAATTCAACATGTTATGCAGAGCTATGGGAGTCCTGGTGGCAATAGTGTTACCCACTGGGCTGCCAACAAGGTTAGCAGTTCAAATCCACTAGACACTCCACAGGACAAAGATGAGGCTTTCTGCTCCCATAAGGAATTGGTCTTGGAAACACACAGGGACAGTTCTACTCTGTTCTATAGGATTACTTTGGGTTGGAACCAACTCAATGGCAGTGCTTGGTTTTTGAGTTTATGCACAGCTACAATGCTTATATAAATCTTCCAAAATATTCTATAGCATTGAATAATTCAAGGTGGGAAAAATCTTTAAGATCATCTATTCCTTATTGTACTTTCATAAAAAAAACAACAACTTGGATATGGGGTAAGTTCTGAATTAGTTCTATCATCCGTCCTAATTTTAATTCCTCTGAAAAAGAAAAACAAACTTTAGTGAAATGATATATGCAAATATATTTGATATGTAAGTAAAATCAAGCAAAGAAAGGGGATTTACAAGACTCAGCAGCTACCAATCAAGACCTATAAACTATAACTTTAATATGTGAAATAATCTGCATGTTGTTTCTTTTAATTCCATTTGTCCATGAATTTAAACAATTTCAGCCCCTCATATTTGTGATTGCTCTTTTTAGTTACCCCAAGAGCCAATTCTGACACACGGTGAGCCCTTATGACTCATGACCAGAACTGACTTCTGAAGCGGAATGCCAGGCCAGTCTTCAGAGGTGCCCTTGGGGTGTGGATCTGAATGTCAACCTTCTGCTAGCAGCTGAGCACTTTTTGCTTGTTGGTAACACCCAGATGCTCCCAAAAGCCTTCCATTCTTGTTCTTGAAGAAAGTAACCAGCAGGATCCTGACCTGTATTAATAACAACAAAACTACTTTGGATCCTAATCTGAACTGGAACGTTAGTGCAGTCAAGTTGATATTTATTCTAAATTCAAGTGTGCCTTAATTTTAATAAAACTAGTGATGAGTCTTAAATATATATATTAAAAGGGCACTTAAATCCAAAGGGTTTGCCCTTTTTTTACTCAAAAAAGTAGCAAGAACTAGATCTCTAATGACAACTTCCAGGCCTTCTTATTTATGCTAACTATCCAAGGAAATCCAACTTCCTGCACAAGACATCTGTACTAAACAAAAGTACTTACCTTAAAAAAAAAAATCAACACAGCAAATGGAACTTTTTAAATTATCTAATTTTCCAACATTACCAGTAATACACATTTCAGAAATATGGAAGGCAAACTTTGCCTCAACTAAGTCTCATGAATTAAAAGAAAAATACTGGTTTTATGGCAGAATTCTGGCTGACTCATAATTGGTGCACAATGCTTGCCAAATGAACTCACACTTACCTTAGGAAAGTATTACCATAATGAACAACAATCTGTATGTTCAACTCAAATCAAGACACCTTCATTAGAACTGGGTATAGAACCTAATTAGAACTGGTTTAAAGGGATGTGAATTACAAAGCCATAGGGATGAAGGCCATCAGCAGCTCCGAAGGCGGGAGATGAGCACGTCCTGCTCCCGCAGATAGCCAGCCTTGGAAACACTGTATAGAGTCCCTAGGATTCAGGACCCACGGGTTCACAGGTTTTACTGCTGGCTCTTATCAATGTGCGTGGGGCTGCCTAACTGCAAAGTACGCGGTTAAAGCCCACCAGCTATTTTGGTGGCGGCGGGGGATGGGGTGGGGGGTGGAGGTGGGGGGGTTGGGAAGGTAAGGCTGTCTGACTCAAAGATTTACAGCCACCAAAGCCCCACACAAGGTCATTGAGTCCAAATGGACAGAGTGGTGGGTTGAGTCTGATATAGGGGGTTTCTCAAAAAGCGTTTGTTTTTTTAAAAAAAGAAGGCTCTTTATTGATACTAGATAGGAAGTAAAGCTTACCCTTAAAACTGCTATTATAAGGCGGGTGCGAGGGGGGGGGAACCTAGAAAAAAACTATTATTGTCCAATTAATTAGGAAGTTACATATGTAAAAGAACTCACTGCCGTCCAGTCAATTCCCCGACTCACAGCGACCCCACAGGGGTTTTCCGAGGCTGTAAATCTTTAGGAAGCAGAAAGGCTCCCCCGTCCCCCTTCCACTCCTTAAGCCACCAGTTTCTTGAACAAATCTAACGAGGAGCCTAAACTGGCTGAGCAAAATAGATCGTGCATTCCATGTGGGCAGCAAAGAACACCGCAGGCTTACTAATCTTGAGCACACAAGATTACTGTCGATTTGATTATTCCAACAATAATCAAAGCGTTCTATCTCTCCCCACGCAGAAGGCAAAAGGCAGAGGGTCTGGAGGGTTGGTTTTCACGCGGGGGGGAAAAATCCGACCCCAGGAAATGGAAAAGCCACCGCTTTGCATCGCCTAGCAGAAACCTGGCGCAGCTCGGGAAGGGAATTTTCCAAGACCTCAAGTCCAGCTAAACCACTGGGGCCCAGGACACCCACGGCCTAACTGGCTCGTGCGTTCAAAGCTCTGGGGACCCGCGACCGAAGAGCCCAGTCTGGGAAGCCCGCGGCGCCTGGAAGATGGGGCGCGGCATGGACCGGGGGCGGCCCGGTGCGCGCGGCGAGCAAAGAGGGCGCAGAAGGCCCCGGAGCCCATTTTGTCCCCGGCCTCCGCGGGTCACACACCCTCCGTTGGGCCTGCGACTACGTTCCTGGCCGCGGCCGCGCGGCCCTGCGCCCCGCACACCCGCCAGGCCGCGACGCAGGGCCCCGGGCCGCCACGGCCCGGAGCGAGGCGCCCACCCCGCCCCGCCCGCCGCTCCTCGGGACACGGTCCTCCCGCGGGCCCTCAGCCTCGCACCCCGACCGGCCTCCCCGACTCAGGGCGCCGCACCCCTCTCTCGGGCATCACCACACCAGGCCCCGGTTTCATCCCCCCCGTGCCCCGCAGCGCCTTCTGGGCCGCCTCCCCGCCGCCCGCGCGGGCGTCACCCAGTCAGCTCGCCGAGGTGCGGCCCCAACGCCCCTCCGCCGCGGCCCTTGCCCCGCGCGCCCGCTCCAGCGGCCCCGCCCGAGACGTACCCCCCAGCAAACAGATGCACCAGCGTGTCCCTCTGGCTCATTCTCTCTCCCGCATGTCCTCCGGGCTCCGAGACAGGGCGCGGATCCGGCCGCCCGCGACCGCCGGCGGCTTCGGGGCGCGACTGGAGACGCAGAGCGCCCCAGGGACGGCCAGGGGAGCTGGCGGAGACGCGGGTGCAGCGAGCCACCGGCGAAGCCCTCCCCGCGACGCTCCCGCCGCGCCGCCTCCAGCCCCAGCTGCGCGTTCACAACCGAAGCCGGAGAGCGGCGGCGCGAGGGAGGGGGCGGGGTCATGAATATGCGGATGACCCAGGCATAAGCCGACGATCCCATTGGGCCGCACTTGGATGACGTCATGAGCCTAGCATGCCCCTTTCACGTGATCGCTAAGGGGTTTGTCAATGAAAGGGGCTGCGGGGCGGAGCCAGAGCGCGTGCGGGGAGGGGAGTGGGTCACCGCGCCCTCGCACCTAACTCGCTAGCCCGGAAGCTTGCACGGGCCCGCGCAGGCGCGCGGATGGTGCCGCGCGTTCCAGTCTCGGGGGTCATGTGAAAGTCTCCTGGGCTCGGTGTCCGCAAACCAAATGGGTATGAGGAGCTTGCCTCGTCTCTGCTTTACTTTTAGAAAATTGATTTTGTGATGCAGGAATTCAGCTTCCTGGTGTCTGCGTCACAGTACCACGCGAACAACGGTGTGAAAAGGCGTGTCCAAAGTTGGCAGGCCAGCAAGGCCCGCAGTAGAGATAGGTAGGGGGATGGAGAATTGGGGGGTGGGCGATCCGGTGGTTCAGGCCTTCCGTGTGTTGTGCATGGAGTTTCCATGATTCCAGGACGACGAGACAGGACAACAGGAGAAAGGATAAATACATCATGGGACATTTCTGCTATGGAATAATTAGGCAATTGTGGCGAGAAGTTAGGTAAAGCCATACGGGAAAATTTCACAAGTCGTAATGAAAACGGGAAATTGAAATAAAACACTACCATTTATTTTAGAAAGCATAAAGAAGATGGCTTTTACTCATTCCCTTCTTTCTTTTTTTACAAACTCACTGCCATAGAGTCATTTTTGACTCATGGCGACCCTATTGGGGAGGGTGGAAGTACCCGTGGATTTTAGAAACTGTAACTGTTTATAGTAGTAGAAAGCCCGATCTTGGTCTTTCCCCCACAGAGCGCCTAGTGGTTTCAAACTGCTAACCTTGCAGTTAGCAAGCAGCCCAACCTGTAACCACTATCAACTAGGGCTTTTTTTACTTATTCTTTTAACTAGCAAATATTTCTTATATGAGTACTTCAAAAAGCCCATTTTTCCACAAGCGTTTTGAAACATAATGTCAGACTAAGAGAACAAAACATAGTTCTTTCCATGACACAGCAGTTAATTATTTAAAATTTTGCTCATTATTAATTATTTCTAAGGTGTGGAAAAGTACAAAAAATCATGAATGTTTACTTCTCAACTCTTTGCTTTGATAACTTCCTTCATACTTGTAATGTCCTCCCGCCCTTTCCCACCTTCTTTTTCCCAGGCACTTCCTCCATGAAATGGCCTCTTCAGGCCATCATCTTCCCCTGCTCCTAAATCCCTAATGAGTCCACAGATTCCATCCCCTGCAAGTGTCTACCCACTCCACACTAATACTGATCTGTAAGATGGGGTTAGGAGTATACACCTCACAAGGTAGTTGTAAGAATTAGACACATTAAAATATATAAAACACCTCTGTAAGTATTAGTTACAGTAATTGATAATATTCTTTTCCTGCCCTGGATGTTTAATTACAAAGTGTTTCCTGAGTGTTGATTACTATACCAGGCTAATAAGTTTCTGTATCAGCTTAATAAATCCTTGATAACAGTGTTTCCGAAAGTGGGTGATACCACCCCTGGGGAGGGGGCACTTGGCCAGTCCAGGGGTGGGGGCTGCATAAACAGATACCTTCACTTTATCCTGGATTATGGGATATAGTACAAAGGTTTTTAATTGGGGGGGTTGTTATTCTGAAAAGAGGGCAGTAGACCAAATAAGTTTGGAAACCTATGCTTTATCTCATTATCTTACTAAACTCTCACAACTGCCCTAGAAGTGAGCACTAACCCCAATTTACATATAAGGAAACTGCATTTACAATAACTAATTTACTCAGTGGAGCTTGGATTGGAGTCTGACAGAATGCACGCGATGTCAGAGCATGCGCTCAGGAAGTAACGGCAACAGCAAAGTAGGGAAGATGGGCGCCTCCCCTAACCCCCAGCTTTGTTCCCCCCAAACTATTGCATTAATAGTTGGGGGCTATTTTATTATTTTCTATGGGATATAATTCACATGTCATATAACCCACCTTTTTGAAATATACAATTTAGTGATTTTAGCATACGTATTCAACATAGCTATGTAATAATAATTACCATGATCTAATATTAGCATATATATGTATATTTAACAATCATTTTATTGGGGGCTCTTAAAACTCTTGTTACAATCTATACATCAAATGTATCTGACATATTTGCACATATATTCCATTGTTCTTTTCTAGACATTTACTCTCCTTTGAGCCCTTGGGATCAGCTCCTCTTTTTTCCCCTCCCCCTCCCCACCCTAGTATATTTTATTAGTCAAACAAACAAAACAAAACCAAAAAAACACCCCAAACCCTATACACATTAGTAGTCTTTCACCTTTCTCCTCCTCCTCTCCACACATTTCTCTGGAAATCACTGATCTACTTCCTGTCTCTGGATTTGCCTATTGGGGGCATTTCACAAGTCATACAGTATGTGGCCTTGGGTGAGCAGCGTCTTTCCCTGTGCTGATGCTGCAGGCTCAACCACTCTGTAGCGTCTATCAATGTTCTGTTTCTTTTTATAGCTGAACAATATTCTACCATACATAAGTATAGATGTATTCCACCACGTGTCTGTAATTTGTCACACTGTGGTGGCTTGTGTGCTGCTGTGCTACTGGAAACCATGTCACTGGTATTTCAAACCCCAGCAGGGTCACCCAAAGTGAATAAGTTTCAGCAGAGCTTCCAGATTAAGAACAGACCACGAAGAAGGAATAGGTTGTCCAATTCAGTAGAATTAGCCAAAATGATTGCTTCTGTTTTATCAACCATGTAAAGGCATGTAACTATGTAGATCATAACAAACTGTAGATCACAATGCAGAGTGGGAATTCCAGAACACTTAACAGTGCTCATGTGGAACACGTACATGGATCAAGAGGCAGTTGTGCGAATAGAGCAAGGGGAATATGGCATGGTTTAAAATCAAGAAAGGTGTGCTTCAGGGTTGTATCTGCTCACCAGGATACTCCTTGGAAGCAAGGATGACAAGACTTCAGGTCTCACGTCCTTTGGAGATGTGATCTGGAGAGAGCAATCCCTGGCCATCATGCTTGGTCAAGTAGAGCAGCAGAGAAAAAGAGGACAAGATGTGTTGACACAATGGCTGCAATGATGGTTTGAACATAACAACAATTGTGAGGATGGCTCAGGATCGAGCAGTGTGTTGTTCTGTTGTTCATAATGCTGCCATGATTCCACAGCACCTAACAACAACAACAACAATATACATTTTGCTTATCCATTTGTTGATGGACAGTTGGGCTGTTTCCTTTCTTTTTTGAACTATCATGAATAATGGTGCTGTGCACATTTGTGTCCAATTTTTTAATAATTTGATTTGTTTATCCAAAAAAAAGCTTCATTTGTATTTAATTTATTTAGCTTTTTGACTCTGTGTCTGTGCCGTTAATACATTCACCAGAATTTTTGCACCTCAGGGAAGCACACTTGATCGTGTCCTGGACACGGTTAGCATGACCACAAGCCCTCCTGATGTACCGTTCCTTTGGACAGCCTCCTGCGAACTTTAGCTCTCACAGGACGGAGCAGAGACAGTGTGGGCACACGCCACCTGCTGATGTTGGTGCTTTTCTTGAGCGAAAAGGTAGCTCATTCTATTACCAGTCTAGTTTTGCTAGAGGCTGTGCCCTGAAGCTGAACCATTTAGAATGCTTCTGCACAGCGTCCCCAGATGAGGAAGTATGTCCAGGTTTTTATGTGGACATGTTTTCAATGCTCTTGGGTCTATTCCTAGAACTGGAATTGCTTGATAAGATTGTCCCTCTGCTTAACCATTTGAGGAACTGCCAACTGGGTTTCCAGCATAACTGTGACTTTAAGTGTTTTGTTTGTTTTCTAACCTAGTTGAAAAAAATACATTTAATAGAACTCACAACACTGGTTGTGCCCTGATGGAGCCCTAGTTGATGTGTGCGGTAACAGCTCTTCCCAGCGTGAGCAAAAACAACCCCTCATGTGACTGTTTCCTTTGGACATCATTCAGCTGCCACCGTGGAAGGAGACTCTGCCCTCCACTCATTCTGATTGTCTGTCCCAGGCGGGGGAACCACCCACCGGGGTGTGGTTGCTAGCTCGACATTCTTGCTGGGGTTCAGGGGTTGAGGTGGCACTCTCATTTGCTGAGGTTCCACACTTTCACCTCCCCAACTGTTTCATAACTGCCTCTCTCATGTCTGTTGACATCTTCAAGTGATCCCATCAAGACCAGTAGGAAGGCGAGGTTTCCTATGCAAGCACACTTCTGGTTGCTTTTCGGGGAGAAATACCTTCTGACAGAGTGGATGCGACTAAGACCATGCATTGGCATCAAACCTATTTTCACCTCCCAAGAGATAGTTGCTAATGTATTGAGGTGCTGATTTCGAAGTCAGCAAGGTCAGCAGTTCGAACTGCCTCAATGCTCCTCAGGAGAAAGATGAGACTTTCTGTTCTCCATAAGATTTATAATCTAGGAAACTGAGGAGCTCCGTCCCATAGGGTCTTCTCTGTCTTAGAGGGTTGCTGGAGTTGGAATTGACACCATGGTATGGGCTCGCAGTTTTCTTTAGTTTTTATTTATTTGGGGGGTGGAGGGGGGTGGTAAGAGAAAAGTGTCCTAGTGCGGCACTTCCGGTGGTATCCAAAAGGTGAGGGGTTTAATCCCATCAGCCTTTTACAGGGAGAAGGTGTGGCAGCCAGCTCCCATAAGGATTACAGCCTTCGAAAGCCTGTGTGCCAGTTCTACTCTGCCCTGCATGATCAGTGTGAATTGGAATGAAGTCGATGCAATGGTTTTTATTTTCT